GATCCCCCCTCCCCACCCAGGTGCTGTCCAAGGACGTCGACCTGGAGAAGGTGGCGCGCCGCACCCCCGGCTTCACCGGCGCCGACCTGCAGAACCTCATGAACGAGGCCGCCATCCTCGCCGCGCGCCGCGGCCTGCAAGAGATCTCCAAGGATGAGATCGCCGACGCCCTGGAGCGCATCATCGCGGGCCCCGAGAAGAAGGGCGCCGTCATGAGCGACAAGAAGAAGAAGCTCGTGGCCTACCACGAGGCCGGCCACGCGCTGGTCGGGGCCCTCATGCCCGACTACGACCCCGTGACCAAGATCTCCATCGTGCCCCGTGGGGCCGCCGGCGGTCTGACCTTCTTCGCGCCGTCGGAGGAGCGCCTTGAGAGCGGGCTGTACAGCAGGACCTACTTCGAGAACCAGATGGCCGTGGCGCTGGGCGGGCGCATCGCGGAGGAGCTCATTTTTGGGGAGGATGACATCACTACTGGTGAGTACGACGCTCAGGGCCATGTATTGAAGACGTATTTTGTTGACGGACAAGGACTGGACAATGATTATGGTTGAGACGTTCCTTCGGGAGCGAGGCGTGCTGGTCGTCGGCAAGGGCCCGTTGAATTGGTGCACTGTCGAGTGCTCGTGCCTGTGGGAACGTTTTGTGTTACATGACCAGGCTCATCACGCGCCCACAGCGGGATCGGAGCACCTGTGACTTCTCAGGGCTGCATCAGGCTGTGATGCCGCCCACGAATTCTTTTTCCTCTCAGAGAGTCCCACAGCGTTGAGTTGCCTCTCCATCGCAATTCCTCTCAATTCGCCTACACAACCTCTCCTCAGGCGCGTCTGGTGACTTCCAGCAGGTGACCCGCACCGCCCGCCTGATGGTCACGCAGCTCGGCTTCAGCAAGGTGCTTGGCCAGGTGGCATGGAGCAGCGGCGGCGGCAATGCGTTCCTTGGGCAGTCCATGGCCCAGCCCGCGGACTTCTCCAGCCAGACCGCGGACGAGATTGACCAGGAGGTCAAGGCGCTGGTGGAGCGCGCGTACCGCCGCGCCAAGGACCTCATCCAGTCCAACATCGACATCCTGCACAAGACTGCTGCGGTGCTGCTGGAGAAGGAGAACATTGACGGTGGGTGCAGTGGCAATGGGGTTTGGGGTGGACAAGGGAAGAGGTTGTAGGGGTGAGGTTGTGCGCTCTTTCCACACAGGTTGATTAGTGTGAATGCATGCACAATAGTTTTCACAATGATTGCCAGCTTATACCGTCTCCTTCCGCTTCGGCGATTCAATGCCGGACAGATTGATCAAGGTCAAACTTCATGACTGATGTCCTGTCGCACACCACACTTTGTGCTCACCGCCACTTGGCGCCCACGCCCCCGCCCTCACAGGAGACGAGTTCCAGCAAATCGTCCTTGAGTCACAGGCGCAGCAGTACCTGAAGGGCGACGCGCCGGGCGTCACCATCCCGTACCAGGCGGCGTAATCTGCCACGCCTAGCTCGCAGGCATTGGCGCATGCACACAAGGGGCCCTCGTGTATCCAAGAGTGGCTTGATGCTGGATTGTGGAGGGCTGCCTGCTTCTCAGCTACATCAGCCCTTTTTGACCATGCTGGAGGGCGTCTGCGCCGCATGAGCGCCATGCAGCCCCACACGTTTTGGTGCCAATTTTGCCCAGCGCTTGATTTGGAAGACGGTAATGATTGTCTGCCTTCTCTGTAATCTTCTCCTCATTGTGCATCGACAACACAGTTCAATATTCAGATACAAAACAGACACATACACTTTGCGATTGTTGTAATCAACGAACGCAGAATATGCGGCCAGTCGCGGCGAGCAAGGATTCGGCAGACACACCGGTACCACTAGGCAGGGCTGCGGCCGCGGGCAACTCCGAGGATTCGCCATCATCCAAATCACAACACCGAAACCCTTCTTCCAAGTCATTTGGGGCAGAGGGGGGCAGCCCAGGAACCGATGCATAACACACGAGCGATCAAAGCAGGGCGTGGGGCGCGCCAACCTGCATAACGCACACCCTACCAACGGAGGCCCGCGATA